TTTTTTTTGGAGAGATTTTCACTGTAGGGCGCGTGCGCTCGCCAGACAGACAGAGAGAGACATAGAGACAGAAAGCGAGAAATCACCCCCCAGGGGGGATGGTCACGCCGCAATCCCTTCTCCTCCATTCTCCTCTCGGGATCTTGGGCACGCACGCACACGTGCCCGGCGTGAGTTTTAAGCCACCGGGTCCGGGACACGAACCGCGGTCGACTACGTGGGAGTCCAGCGACATAGCCATTATGCTAACTGCTGGTTCCCTTTTGCACTAACTTTAGAATCAGCTTGTCAAATTCCATTAAAGAAAGCCCTGCAGGCATGTCGATTGGGCTTGGGTGGCCTTTCTGTTAGGTCATCAGGACTGTAATGATGTATTTTTCTATGTGAAAATGCGTCATGTCTTTCCCTGTGACCTAAGAGACTCAGTAGGGAAGAACTGGCACCCTTAGAACCTTCCATGGGAGTTTATTCAGAGAGGACATTTCCAGGTGCCTTTAAACAGCAGTGTCACAGCCCACCAGTGAGGGCAGGGCAACCACACGAAGCCGCAGAGCACGCGGAGCACTGCCCTTGTCACTTGCGGGTGATGCGCCTGCATGGTCGGCCAGTGCAGCATCACGTCCAGGGTGGGACCTGGGTCGGGCCGGCTGCATGTGCGAGCCAGCTTCTGCCAGCTGTCGTGTCGCCAGAGCTCCCAGGCCTGCCCGCCTGCCGGTCTCCCCGCTGAGGCGCGAGCGATGCTGCAGGCAGCACCAGAGGTGGCTTCTGTGGCTCCCGTTTCTGAGCATATGCTTTCTGCACTCAGCGATCAAGTCCAGGGAAGGTAAAGCAGTGAAGGCCTTGTGTGGAGAGCTGCTGAGCAGCGTCAGCTTGAGGAAGGACTTCTCTGGAGACGTGTGCCTATTCTTGGCTGAGCAGGCTCCTCGTGGGATGAGGCAGGTGGGGCGGGAGGCCCCAGCTTCTCAGGCTGAGGTGTTGGAGAACCTGCCAGGCAGTGGCCAATCATCTTGGGCTTGCTCTCCAACTGGCTGGAGGTCTTGCTGTTGTGGGTGCCCACCTTGCTGCGCACCATCTCCGGGGGGCCGCATCCTGCAGGTGTCTTCACACCCTTGGCTTCTCCGTGGGCAGCTCCTCCTTGGGCTAGTGCAGCATGGAGTGCCGCTTCTGCTGTAGGATGCAGGCTCCCAGCCCCCGGCGGCAGCAGTGCAGCTCTATCGCCTGTGGGTGGGGTGTGGTCAGCCACTGTTGGCCCTGCACAGCTGGCTGGGGGGTCCCCTTCCACTGTCTTGGTGGCTCCTCAGTGAAGATTTTGCGTGTCTCTGTTGAGGTGGGAACACTCTCACCCACATTTATCAGTGGCCTTCTGGTCTTTGCAGGTGCTGAGCAGCAGTGTCCAGGAGCACTTAGTGGGCTAGTGTCAGTAGGTTCCTGTTCTGTGATTTGGGAAAAACTTGCAGGGCTAACAAGCCCACCTGTACCCCTTTAGTGTGTGTGTGTGTGTGTGTGTGTGTGTGTGTGTGTGAAGATTTGCCAAGTGTTAAAGTGTTCATAGGCATCTCTGAAATGGAAGGGTGAGAGCTCATCTCCTTTAGAGATGAGGGTAGGTCATGTTACACGAGTACAGGGAAGTTGCTAAGTGAAAGCAAGAGGAGAGAGCTGGTGTGGAGAGTGGACATCCCTGACGCCTGGGAGGGCTGCCCACGGGGCCTGTGGAGGGAGGCACGTGCAGCTCCATGGTGGCAGCAACAGAGCGCTCTTGGGGCAGTGGTGCAAACGTGGTGCTTCACCAGCCGGCGGCACTTGCTCTGCTGGAGTGAAGGCCACAAGCAGGTGTGGAGAGTGGCGTGCGCTGCGCTAACGGTTTCAAATAACGGTAACTTGAACCTCTCCAGGGGCCGGAGGTGCAGGTGCCTGTGTAACGCGTGTGCTCTGTCTGTCCCCAGAACTACACGCAGTACATCCCGCTGTCTGTCTACGACCTGCAGACTTGGATGGGCAGCCCGTCGATATTCGTCTACGACTGCTCCAACGCCGGCCTCATCGTCAAGTCCTTCAAGCAGTTTGCGTTGCAGCGGGAGCAGGCGCTGGAGGTGAGCTGCCCCAGAGCCCAAGCCACAGCCCTGGGCTCTCTTGCTTCTTCCTGGCTGAGGGGTGCTGGGTGGGGGCGGGGGTGGGGAAAGGGCCCCGAGTGCCGCGGCAGGTGGTGTGTCCTGTGGTGGAAGCCCGGCAGGTACTGAGGGCGAGCGTGCACGCCTTCTCACCTTTCGCTCAGAGTCGTCGCTGTCTGCACGCCAAGTCAGAGAGGACATTCCTGGAGCACCCTTGCTCACAGTCTTTGCCCAGCAGAGGCTCGTGAACATGAAACAGACGTGTCTTCCTTCAGGAGGACCGAGCCCACGCCTCCTTTTCCACCCTGCCTTTGTTCCTGCCTCAGTTTATTTCTTCTGTGTTTTTTGAAAAAACAAACCCGCTAAGCTACTTGATAGAAAAGTGACCCAAACAGCTGCCACTGGTGGTTCCTGTTTAAAGAACCAGGAGCCTGTGTGGTGCTCTGGTAATGCAGAGACATTTGCTTGGTTGTCTGAATGAATCTTTGATGTTTGAGTTAAATGGTGAATCCCAAGGAGAAATGGAAGAGGCAGTTTCAATTACGGGTCCCGTGCCTGGCCCACGAAGGAGCGGCAGGACGACGTGCCCGCAGCCTGCAGGGCTCGCGCATTCTGACAGGCTGAGTGCGGGAGGCTCTCAGCCCAGGAACACGATGGTCTTGTGTACGTTTCCTCCAGCCTTTTTGGGTCCATTCAATTTTAATGGGTTATGTTTTCACATTTCATCAGAGGATAATGCCGAAACAGTCAGCAGCAACATTTGAAATTCTATTTGGTAGAGTTTCAAGTTAACATGTCTGCAGTTTAATATTTTATATTTATGAATTAAGTTCTCTGTGAAGCATTGCGTAAGAGACTGATGGGCATCAGGCCCTTTCCCCTCGGGCCAGGTGCCGCTCTCCGGTCTGTTTGGCTCCTGTCAGACGAGAGGGGGGTCGCGTTCTGTGTCACCAGGCCTTTACCTGCTTCTGGGCGCTCCCTCGGGCTCTACCCAAGGGCAGGTTATGTAGGAGCACTGGGAGACTCCGCGCTGCGGTGCCGCGATGTGCTTCTCCCCACACCCAGCGATGAGCATGCGCACCTGTGTTTACATTCACCATGCAGAGATACGGTGCCAGAGTTGCCGCCTGGACCGCACCCTGACCTGCAGCGGCAGAGCGCTCATACACCAGCCCTGGTTAGCCACAGGCTGTTAAACTCAGGCCCCCGTCCCTCCTCGGCAGAGCACACCTAGGTGGGACGGGTACCAGATGTTCCCTCTTAGCGCTCGGGCTGCTCCGTCAGGACCCTGTGTGTCCCTGTGTGCTGGCAGGATTAACCGGCCTAAAATGCTGTTCATTGAATTCAGGGCAACAGAAGATTTCCATGCATCTTCCTCGGGAAGAAGAAATGTTTAACTGACTCATTTCTCATGAAGGAGATCGAGTAGAAGAAGAATGTTTGTGGTGGCGAGCAGAGGGCGGCGCGGTGTCAGCCATATGTTTTATAATTAGCTCTGATTTTTACCTTCGTTCTCGTTTAATTACAGTGTAGCTCAGTCTTGCGTTTTTCTATTACACTGACTGTTACAGGGATTGTTCACTTGGTCTCTTGCATAAACAGCGGAAATTAAAATGGTAAAATTGGCTCCCAGCTAATATCTCAATGTTCGTTTTAGTCATTTTACTGTCTGCTGTAGAAAGAACAGTCCAATGGGGCCTGTTAGGTTTATTCTTTCAAAACATTCTTTCCCCCTCTGCAGCTGGCCAGATTTGTGCATTTATAATCTGGCTTAATACCTTTCAGTGTGTAACATGTGAACCGAAAGAAAGTGGCAGGTAAATCGTTTGTGCCAGTACTTAAAACACAGAGTAAAAAATGATTACACAGAATGCAAGAAAATGGTTAGTTGGGCCAGAAAGCCTCTGAATAATGTGAATAATAAACATTAACGCAAATATGAATGACATAAATTCTAAGCGGTGATCACCAGCTTTCAAGTCTTCGTGGCCCCGGGTGCGTACTGGGACCGAGAGGCTTCGTTGTGTGCTTGTCTCTCAGAGGACCGCTAAGGCCGAAGACGCCTCCCAGAGCACGCGAACGTTCTTGCCCTCAGCCGAGACTCCCCTGCAGCCAGTCAAGCGTGTCTGCCGCTCCGTCACCCTCCTTGCAGTTTTTCATTATGGCATACTGGTTTGTAATTTGAAAATTAAGGGAAGTTTCCCCTTGCCCTCAATGTTCTTTTTAAAATAAGTACTTTTTTAAAAACCGAATTGGTTTATGCCACGGGTTTAGAAAATCAAACAGTACGAAGGGTTATAGTGAGCAGAGTCCAGCCTGAACTCCCGGGCCGAGACTGCCGCACAGGTACCTCTTCCAACCCTGCTGGTCCCCAGTTCCCCTGGAGGGTCTCTGCGTGTCTGTAGGCAGTGTGCTGGTGGTGCCGTGCCGAGGCCCGCCATCCTGGCAGCCCGTGGCTTCCTGCTGTGGTAGTGCCAGCGTCTGCTGCCATGAGCGGGGCCTGTGTAGGGGACTGGAGGAGGGCCGCGCAGGCCTGAGTACAGAGACCCGTTCCGTGGGAGCTTACATGACGACTCGCTGTCGGTAGCCGGCGAGTTCTAAGGAGAACATTCAAAATGGAGGTGTCGCCACCCTCTCCTGCATCCCCACTGCACCTGGTTCTGGCGCCGTCCTGTCCTGTCCTGTCCTGTCCTGTGTCCTCAGCATGCCCGTCCTCTTCCTTCCCACCTCGTGGATGACAGATGACGCCTCCGCAGGCTCTTCGCTCCCTAGCCTTGTGTCCGTGCCTCGTCTTTCTCAGTCTCCGTCATCTGCACTTTTGCTTAGTTTTTGTTTTTGCCATAGGGCATGTGTGCTCCCCAGGGGGAGAGAGAGAAGGAAAGTGAGAAAGCAGCCCGGGAAGGGCCATGTCACATCCCTTCTCCTTCTCTCTCCTCTGAGGATTTTGGGCATCCCCACACATGCTCCCAGTATGTTTTTCAAGCCACCAGGTCTGGGACTTGAACCATAGAGTGGGCCATGTGGGATCCAGCCTCTTTAACCGCCGTGCCACTAACTGGTCCTGCAGTTTGACTTTATCCATGTCCTGGCCCCTGACCTTAGTCAAGTCTCCTGTGGTGGTTGTGTGGGCTGAGCCTATACAACGACAAGCCTTCCTACCTGACTATGACCGTGGGACACTGTTCACTGAGGTCTCCCTCCCTGTTTTATGTTTTCGGGGAGGGCACTTCTGCCCACCAGAGAGAGGGGCACGGGGCAAGGTGAGAAAGCACCTCCCAAGGGGAATGGCCATGCCACCACCCGTCTTCTCCATTCTCCTCTCCCGATCCCCGTGTACATACGTGCCTGGTGTAGTTTGTAAGCCTCCCGGTCTGGGACTCGAGCTGTGCAGCCATGTGGATCCAGCCACCTTCGCCACTGCGTTCCCGGCTGGCCCACCGAGTACCTCCCCGCTTACCGTGACTTTCAGTCTCCTGTAGCAGCTTTTGTTCGCTCACTTTTCCTAGAGACTTTCTCTTTTCTTGACTATATATCTTTGATGCGTCATCAGTTTCCACATTCTCAGAGTACACGCTTCCCGGCGTCCCTGTCACCGCCCTGCCCTGCCTTTTAGTGGCTGCTCTGTGGAGCCCGTGCTGCGCTCACCCTGGCTCTGCCCGCCCGCCCCAGCACACCTCTGCAGTCCACATCCCACCTTTCCGCCTGGACTTCCTCCCTTGTTCTGCCGGAGAAAACCGTCAAGCAGCACCTGAGAGCGGGTACCTGGCAGTGGCCTTTCTCACCTTCTACCGCTGCTAGTCCTGTTGGCAGTTGCCATGCCTTGCACTATAGGTAAATGAAAGATCTCCTTGGTTTCTTAAACAGCAGTTCGTCGTCTTCACTGTTAAGCGCTCCTAGGCGAGTGCGTTACATCTTCAGCGGTGCCACCGGGGACCAGGCTTTTCGATTTTCTGCTCTGGCAGCTGTGGCCAGTTGATGTTACCCTCATGGGTGCAATGGGCCTGCCACTGCACGGGTCATCTCAGACAGATGAGAAGCGGGGAGGCAGCGACACTGGCCCACCTGTCTGTGTGGTTAGGAATGTAAATGTGGGCTTCCCTTGAGCTCTCAGTGGCTGGAGGGGTCACACTGCCACCCTCACTGTCATTGGGGCTGGCTAGAGGGAAAGTAGAGAGTAGGACCATGATGAGGAATGGCTCAGCCACCCTGCCTATGCAGAAGGTCGTGGTCCTAACCACGCATCTCAGCAGTGGCCATGGCATGCCGTTACCCCCCCTCTTGGGCAGCACTGCTCTTCTTGCAGTGCGTGACCAGGTGCCCTGGCAGTCTTCCCCCTAGGCCAGGCATGGATCGCACCCTGGGGCTGGTCCAGGTTCCATTCCCAGCCCACCCTAAAAGCCAGGCGTGGTGTGCATCGTACACCCAGCTGCTTGGGAGACCAAGGCAGAAATCATGACAGAACGAGATCTCGACACCCGGCTTCCTGGTAGCCACAACCGGAAACCCAAAGGCACAACACTGCCGTCTCAGTTAGAGCCTCAGGAGTATTGACAGTTGTCACACACAGGTGTGTGTCGCATGGAGTGGAGAAGCAGGAAAAAGAAAATTCAAATATTTTTTGCAAAATCTTTTCATCTCAGATGTTAAATCCTTGGCCTATAAACTATAGTGGAAGGCCAGGTCTTAAACAGATGGTCCTTACTAAGAATTACCCATCAGTTCTGCGTCTAGCGGGTGTTTTCCGGGTACTGCTGCTCCCACATCCACTGAGGACCCTGGGAAAGTCGGGAGCCATGCTGAGGCCGTTTCCCCTTCTCTTCGTGTTGGGGGCAGGTGAGTAATGGGTCAAGAGAGAAGGCAGAAAGGCCTCTTACTACAGAATAAGAGGCGGATGGGCTCTACCCTTTCCCACTGTACCCGAACAGAACCATCTTCACGTGATTTAAAAACGAAGCACAGACCGCCTCTTGGTGACCACCATG